GAAGCATGCAACATTTTATTTAGGCCGATGACGCAGTTCCATGAGGTTTCTGTTTATGATTGTGAGATGACCACATTCACCTTAATGTCCGAAGGTGAGAAAAAGGTACAAAAACCACCAAGTCTTGTTCGTGAGGCTAAAGAAATAGAAGAGGGTGAAGTGAATGAGAGAAAAGAGAGTCAAACACGAGAGAAACGTAAGCAAAAAAGAGTGAGGGAAGTGAGTTGAGTGTTAGCGAATTGAGAGCAAATATTGGGGAGAGTTCACTCACTTTAAAGGATTGTAGATCCATACAAGTGGAAGAAATCGATAGGCATAATATTTATATGTATAAGTCTTATTGCCTACCACTTCAAGATTTTAAATCTAACCCATTACCCGAGTTTTGTGCTGTTTTGCAGAAACTTTTTGATGCCTCTACTAATGATCTACCCAGAGGATTGCAACCAATGAGAAATATTGAGCATCCAATTGATGTCATCCCCGGAGTTCGACTACCAAATCAAGCAATATATAAAGCTAACACCAAGAAGATGAAAGGAATCCAATTCCAAGTTCCCAAATTCTTTTTGAGATCGATCTTTACTTACATTTCCACACCTTCAATATTGGTGATACAAAAGGAAGAAAATTTTACTTGGGGGGAATGCATTTGAGTATTTTGATTATTCATCCACACTTGCACATATAATTAAAGTTCCTAATATTTATTTAACCTTTGAACTTGAATATGTTGCATTAGGAATTGGTGTAGGAGTTATGTTGATATGGAGCTAGCTGCCAACTAACTCTTTTTATGAGCAAATAAATAGAGTTGCCTTGAATTCTCCAACATATGAGAAGGATGTGTATCCACTCATTCAAGCCCAACAGGTTTGGCAACACTACTTACATGCTAAGGAAATTTTTATATACATTGATCAAGACTCCCTTAAGCACATTAAAAGTCAATCTAAATTGTGCAAGAGGCATGTTCATTGGATTGCATTCATTAGAATATTTCCTTATATCATTAAGTTCAAGAAAGGGATGGAAAGCGTGGTTGGTAATGTTTTGTCTGAGCCTACATATCCACATGCTATCTTGATATCATGATTGATAGGTTCAATAGTTATGAAAAACCTACATGAGCATGATTTAGACCTTGTTGAATCTTTTCCAAGATGTCAAGAATCTGTATTTAATGAGAACTTTTTTCTTGATGGATTTTTGTGCGAGTCTTACATAATGTGTATCATTCCTAAAGGATTATTTAGACTTGTGGTTACTAATAAAGCCCATGAAGATGGACTTACGGGACATTTCGGTGTCACCAAAACTTACAAGTTGTTGCAGGAAAACTTCTATTAGCCGGCAATACACGCTGATGTTGTTAAGCATATTTTTGGATGTATGGTAAGGCGAGCCAAACCCACGGTGAAGATGCATGATTTTGTCGAGGATGTTCTCTACATGCCTTGGGTTGATGTTAACTTGGACTTTGTCCTGGGATTGCCCCGAACAAAGGAAGGTAAGGATTTTGTGATGGTAGTAGTAGATCAATTTTCAAAGATGGCTCTGTAACACCCCGATCAGCTCAAACCAGAGCGTCACTGCCACACCACACCGTAAGGCTCGTTCACCAACCAACTAGCCCTACGTTTTGGCGCTAAAGCTAAAATAACCATTAAAAAACAACTATTTAGAGATTTAGAATTAAAGCGCACCGGTTTATCATTTAAATAAATAATGTTCGAGTCAAAAGCATAAGTTGGAAATAGTTCAAAAGGCATTAGTTCTTAAACATTAATAATGGATTTGAAAAATATTTTAGAAGATAATGTAGTTATAGTTCTCCCAGATGGATCATACGATGTGGATGAATCATTTCGGTATAACAGAAACATGATCACCTACAAAAAAGTTGTAAGAAGAGGGTCAACACAATGGTTGAGTAAGCGCAATTAATCGAAGATAAATAATACGGTATAATGCCACAAAATTATTTGAAAAAGGTGATTTGAATAAGATGACACATATCACATAAGGATAACTCACACACACGAGTCTTTTAGCGCCTCCCTTATATCTCATTTTCATTCTCAAATAATAGTGATGAGCACATCACGAAGAAAACTCCACTAGGCCTTAATCAGGGCCGTCTCGACCCGGTTTTCCAACCTTATTACTTCGTATGATACGTCACATAGTTTCACATAACAAACATAGGGTCACAACCCTCAACGAAAACTCCACAATATGTACATAAGGGTTCGAAACCCAAAATACACGTAAATTAATTTATTTATTAGTTTGCGAGGGGCGCCAAATGGCCCATAACCCTCTAGTCTCCAATATAACATACCAAGAGGGGATTGAATGCAATCCAACCCTCCATCATGGATGACGGTTAAAAGACCTTTTTCATCGTGAATGACGGGCACCTCGGAATCACGCAAAAAGGGAACCCGCCATCTCAATCCCTCGACCTAGCCCATTCGGGATCTAGGTCAAGGTTAGCTAGTTATCCTAAAATACCGGTATACCCTCACGTGTTTGCAAGGCACATAGGTGGAAGGCTATGCCTTAACACCCAAACAATCGACGAGTTGATTGGACTCGACGGGTAGTTTTAATTACCAATTTGACCCAATATTCAACATGCTATTTGGAAAATTTCAAAAAGAGAACTTTAAACTCAAAACATTCCAATTGCTAACATTTAACCAACCAAAAAGTGGAATATTAAACCCAACAAGTTCGTTATTATCTCACTTTATTTCGCCAAATAAACATTAAAAAAATATGTCAATCACAATAGGCATGGTCTAACTCCAAAAATCATAATATTTAAATATAATCGTAAATCATTTTCCAAAAACCATAACTAGGTTAGGGAAAAACTAAGGTTTCAAACCCATCCCATAAATTCTATGATTTTCAATTTAGAATACAATAATAACCTTCACATAAGCCTCAGTTGACATTATAATCAACTTTCTAAAAGAAATTGGCAAAACCTAACACTTTTAGGGTAAACCCATTTGAAAATAATTTTGACTCATTCTCTCTCTATATATAGGCACTCTAACTTGGATATGATATATCTTAACAAACTACGGATAAAGATATCTAAATCAAGAGATACAGATAAACTAAATCTAGTTTATTATTTATTTTACCCCAAACTCAATTTTACTCCTAATTTAAAGTCAATTCATTAATTTCTTACACCAAAAGTCCAAAATAAATTAGGTCCAAAATAATATGGTTCGACTCCGACGTCGAACTCCGGCAAGTTCGGGCGAACTTCCAGCGAGTATTTTTACAGGGTATTACAGCTCACTTTGCTATTTGTCGCAAAATTATTGTTGGCATGCATATTGCTAGCTTATTTTTAAATGAAATCGTGGGTTTGCATGGACTGTCCGTCACTATTGTGTCTAGTAGGGTCACAAAGTTTTTTTGTTGGTTTTGGAAAATTGTTTTTGGAGAGTTGGGTATTGAGTTACTATTTTCAATATTGTACCACCCAGAAACTAATGGAAAGATTGACATGATCACGAATGATATGGTCATATATTTTGCTACTAGTATGTCTTACTTTTAAGTTGTTTATGGATTTTACCCACTCACTCTACTTAATTTGGTGCCATTGCCTAGCAATGAACAATCTCATAGAGATTTCAATAGAACAAGTGCACAAGATCCTACAACTTCACAAAGAAAAAGAGCATCAAGTGAAATTGTGCAATTCAGAAACCAAAAAGCATGCCAACCACAATTCCAAGAGAGTGATTTTTCGACATGGATATAGAATACGGTTGCACCTTCGGAATGAGAGTTATCCTACCAAAAGAAATTCCAAGTCATCCCTACGAGAAGATGGAAATGAATGGTTGATGGAACAACCTTTTGAAAAGGGAGAGATGATGTGACCATCATGAGAGATATTAAATCATCAATTTTCCTAGCCGAAATGAATACCTGGGGCCGAGTACAATAAATTCAAATAGCTATGTTCTTCTTCGAAAATCGTACCATGGATTCCATTATCGAAGAGACTGCCAAAGATAGACCAGCTATGGAGTATTATAAGTTTGTTCCCCAATCACTTAATCATCCCGTGATCATCATTAGAAGATTCAAGACTACCAACCAAGATTTCCAACAAAAAATATCAATAATTATCGAAGGAGTCCAAGTTTCCATATTACCTATTTCTTTATAGTATAAGTTTCCTTTTATTATATTTCCTAATAAGTTGTTTCCTTATTTTTCTATTTCCTAGTTTAGATGTAGCCTTTCAAATTATTTCCTTATTTTCCAGTGTTTCATTTCTTCTATCCTCAAGGACCTCTATATAAAGGCCTTGTTTATCATTGTAAAAACACACAACCATGATATTTCTTATAAAATTTCTTTGCTTTGAAGAGTGATTCTTGCTTGCTTTATTATTTGAGAATGTGAGACGCAATCCTCGGTAGTCTTTCAAAATCGGGTTGTTTTTGAGTGATTCGAGACAGATCATCGCCTCTCAATCGGTGCTTGACCGTTTATTGCGTCAACTCCATTCTTTGATTGGTTTAGAGATCTTGTGTTGCGTGCTGCCTAGTTCTCACGTGGTGCTCATCCGACCAACCATGTGGATCAAGAATCCAGATTATCCTTCTTTATTCCTTGTTGGTTTTTGAGATTCTGTGTTGCATGCTTCTCACGTGGTGCTCATCCAACCAACCATGTGGATTGAGAATCCAAATTATTCTTCTTTATTCCTTGTTCGGTTTAGAGATTTTGTGTTGCGTGTTACTTAGTTCTCACGTGGTGCCTATCCGATCAACCTTGTGAATCGAGAAACCAAAGTATCCTTCTATCCATATCTTTTTCATCCTTATCCTTCCACCAAATTCTGTATCTTTCTTTTTCTTTATTCCCGGTGGTTTGCAAGTTTCCGAATCCTTCGGTTACGTTCGCATCATAAACCCAATACAAAATCCATACTAATATCTATCCAAGGTCCTTTACGGGGGTGGAAGAGGTATGTAGAGTCCATCTGGCTTAAGTGTTGACTTTGGCTTGAGATACGTCACGCATTGCGAAATATAATCTGCCACTTGCTTGCGTATTCCAGGCCTATAAAATTTCTCTCCATGAGTTTCCATTGTAGCATTCTTCCCAAAGTGGCCTATCATGTCACCACCGTGAACTTCTTGTATTAGTAACTCCCAAATGGAGCATCTTGGGATACAAAGTCAATTATCGTAATACAAAAATCCCTCATGTCTGCAATACTTATCATGCCCATGCAATTCACACAAAGCATACACATATTTGAAATCCTAATCAGTGTGGTATAATTCCTTACATGCTCAAATCCTAATAAATGCGTGGACACGTATGAAACTAAAGCATACTTGCGTGAGAGTGTATCCGCGACAATATTATCCTTAGCCTTTTTGTACTTGATGGTGTATGGAAATGACTCAATAAAAGATACCCAGTATGCGTGCCTTCGATTCAGTTGTTGTTTCCCCCTCAAGTGCTTCAAGGTCTCATGATCGGTGTGTCTCACAAACTCTCGTGGCATCAAATAATGTTGCAATGTCTTTAAAGCCCATACTGGTGTGTATCACACTCAAATTCAAAGGTCTTCTTAAAATTTAGTAGCACAAGTACTGGTGCATGAGTAAGCTTTGCCTTCAATGTCTCAAATGCTTCTTGGTCTGCTTGTTCCCATTTAAATGAGACCCCCTTCTTGAGCAAGGACGTGAGAGGAGCAGCGATCAAGCTAAAATCAAGCATGAACCTCTGAAAAAATCCACACATTCCCAAAAACCTCCTAATTTCTCCCACATTCATTGGAGGTGCCATTCTTTAATTGTCTTCACTTTTGTTACATCAACCTTCAAGCCATCCTCGCTAACTACAAACCCAAGGAAAACAACTTCAGTAGTGTGGAATATGCACTTTTTAAAATTAGCATAGAGTTGTTATTCCCTTAACCGTTGAAAGACGAGTCGCACATGCTCCTATTCACTTTTACTATAGACAAGAATATCATCAAAGTACACTACAACAAATTTACCAATGAAAGCACGTAGAACATTATTCATTAAACGTGTGAAGGTACTAGGGTCATTAGTTAGACCAAATGGCATTACAAACCATTCGTACAAACCTAGCTTCGTTTTAAATGCCATCTTCCACTCATCACGGGGTTGTATACGAATCTGGTGGTATCCACTCCGAAGGTCAATCTTGGAGAAGATTATCTCTCCATTGATCTGATCAAGCAAGTCATCAAGGCGCGGGATTGGGTGTCGATACTTAATTGTAATCGCATTCACCGCTCTATAATCCACACACATCCTCCAAGTTTCATCTTTCTTGGCGACAATGATAACAGTAATAACACATGGTAATAAGCTCTCCCGAACCCATCCCTTCTCAAGAAGTTCTTAGACTTGTTTTTGAATCTCGTTATTCTCATCTGGGTTTCACCTATACGAAGAACAATTTGGAATCGAAGCACCAGGTACGAACTCTATTTGATGCACTATCCCACGAGTGGGCGGTAGTCCTTGCGGTAGTTCCTCTGGGTATACATCCTTCATCTCTTCAAGCATCCTAGCAAAGAGATGGGAAATTCGAGAGTAGATTATGTTTATCAGAATGAAATAAATCTTTGCATAACAACATAAAACAACCCTCCTTTTGATAATCTAGGTCACCAACTTCTCGCTAAGAATTGGTAAGTGAAAGAAGGATGTTGAAACCCTTAGCATTAGACTCTCTCTTTTCCTCTTTGGATACTTGTTTTCCTTTAGCTCTTTTAAGGCTTTCAGCCTCTTGCATCTTCCTTCGCAAACTTTCTTGATCTTTTTTAGCCTCCTTCAATGGCAAAGAATGAATCATTACCTTAGCTTGTAGCCCTTGTAATAAAATCTAACTTTGTTAGTCTTTTCATCATAGATAATTCCTTTATCGGATTGCCATGGTTGTCCAATGAGCACATGGCATGCGGTCATCGGAGTAACATCACAAAGGACATCCTCTTTGTAGGGGCCGATTGAAATTGGAACTTTGGCTTGCCTAGTAATCTTCATATCTCCACTAGAGTTTATCCATTCAAGATGGTACGGAGCCAGATGCTTGATAGTTTGGAGTCCAAGCTTGTCTATCATATACCAACTTACGACATTGGTGAAACTTCCATTATCAATGATTATCGATGCTTGTTTCCCACCAATCTTGCACCGACAATGGAATAAATTTTCCCATTGCTCCTTAAGCCGATCAACAAATTTTTCCAATTCCTGTGGAACAGGGCCAAGCATTTGTAAAACCACTAGAGACTCCCCGGATAAATTTTCTTCAACTTGCTCTTCCATCTCTTGGATTGTTTCATCCTCACTCGCCTCAACCTCATGTTCCAAATCTTCAACCTCATCATCTGAAAAATGTACATAGTTCCCATTGTCACAAATCACAACAGTTCGCACATTAGGGTATGCATTGACGTAGTGACCTTTCCTTTGACACTTAAAGAATGTGATATCCTTTGCTTTGTTTGGTGAACCATCATTGCTGACTTTCCTTTGTTCATCACGCTTAACAACCTTAAGTGGCTCATTCTTGGTCGTGTGCTTTTCATCTCCTTTGGGCCAAGATTTTGTTGGTCCCGTATTACCCCCATACTTGTTGAAATTTGGTGACGCCTTTCCAAAGCTCACACTTACTCCTACCTTTCCTTGCGATTCAATTTTAGTAGCAAGTTGGCCAAGTTCCAAAGTAGAATTGTAAGGATACATATCCATTTGAACCATAATATCACGCCTCAGCCCATTGAGAAACCGATACATGGCGACTCCATCATCTTCCACAAGCTGAGCCCGTATCATAAGCATCTCCATTTCCTAGTGGTATTGCTCAACCGTCTTGCTACCTTGGACTAAAAATTGAATTTTCTGAAGGAGATCCATTCGATAATGCGGGGGCACAAAACGTGCATGCATAGCTCGAGTAAGGGCTGCCCATGTCTCAATCGGAGGCATTCCGTACCTTGCAATATCTTGTACCTTCTCCCACCAAACAAGAGCGTACTTCTTAAACTCCACAACAACAAGCTGAATTTTCTTGCGCTCTGAGTAATTATGACATGCAAACATCATCTCCACTTTGCTTTTCCACTCAAGAAACTCATTAGGATCAGCCGATCCTAAGAAATGTGGTATGGAGAACTTGATGGACTGCGTGTTATCATCAACCTCATTAACTCGAACTCGGCTCCTTCGGTCATAGATATCTTCTTCCAAGTCAAATTCATCAAGCAACTCTTTGGTAGCATCCTGTTTTCCTCGTCGGCCTTGGATAGATGTAGGCCTTGGACTAGTATGATGCTTTCGCCAAAATCATTAACTTGGATAGATCGATTTGGTAGAATACTTGTTGAGCCAGTAGGTTGCTTGGCAAGGTGGATTTCTTCATGTCTAGCATCACTATGACTTCCCCTTTCTTCAAGAGTAGCAACCTTACTGAAAACCTCATCGAGTTTTTTTTCGATATTTTGATCAACCTTCCTCAACAAGGCCTCCGCATAAGCCTTTATCCGAGCATCCACGACATCTTCTATGTCATCTCGAACATGATCTACTTGACTCCGTAGGTCATGTATCTTTTGACCTTGCTAATCCACTCAAGATGTCATGCTATCCATCTTTCCGCCTAACTCGTCTTTAATATGTCGCATATCCTTGCGTTGCTTATTTATCGCAGCCAAGATATCATCCAATGAAGCCATACCTGCACCAAAACAAACTAATATATGTATATTGAAAGTTAGTCCTCACAAGTCCCCCTCTCGCACACTCGTGTATACCTCTCGACAAATGGATAGAGTTTCCAAGCTCTTAAAGTGTGCCTTGATGGAGTCGTAAAGGTGGAACCTGAGTGATGTATGCGTTTAAAGTGGACAAGAAACTTTAAACACCACTCAATCAAAGAAAGCTCAAGATAGTGTCAATCATGCAATGCAAAGAACCAAGCTCATTCATTCATGGACGAATGACCAAACGTACACAACACACAAATGCCGGAACTAAGCAAGTCAACAACAAACACAAGCTGAATTAGATCTAAAAAACCACCAAGTCACCAAAATACTCAACCCCTTTTAAAACGTGTCAAACGAATATGAAAAGCACAAAATCGATTCAAACTCAAAAACCCAAAACTGAATAATCAATGTCAATTACAAATTAACAAAACCTGATTAATATATCTTTATCCCCACTTCACAAGCTTTTCAGTAACATATCATACATGAAAAATAAAGCTCGTATGAGAAAACCACAACTCAAACAAGATTATCGACAAAAATTTGCTCTAGTCCTCCCGATCGATTTTTTTTTTCGTATTTCATTTTTTTTTTGCAACTTCTTGTTTTTATTTTTACTTTTTCACGGAAATATTATGAGGCCTAGGCAAAACAATACATCAACAATAACTCCTTATACTTCCCCAATAACATCCAACTCAAAATTAATTCAACCTCACTTTAAACAACAAGGAACTCAACAACCTGCAAACTTGCAAAACTCAAACAAGAGTGAAGTTGCAAAACTCAAACAAGAACAAACTTTAAACACTCAACCAAGAACAAACTCGCAAAACTCAAGCAAGAGCATGAAGTGTACAATTAAAATCACTCGTCAACAAAGTCACAAGCTTGAGTTCATATAATGCATATGGATGTAAGGTGCATGTTGTACACTAGGAAGCATAGATGATCAAATCCTCTACACTAGAAGGCCAAGCAATGACAAAACTTGAGATCAAATTTACGTCAATGATATGCATTAAAAAAAACTCAACTAAGTTACAAGAAGATAGAATGAAAAGAAAAAATATCAAAGGAAATTTTTTTTCAGAAATTTTGGAATAAAGATAGTGTAAATTGATCAAACTGCTCAGATACCAAAATTAAATAATATATGTCAGGGACCGAATTGACCAACTACACAAGACACAAAATAAACTAACTAAACATAACTAACTAATAAACAACGAGAAAAAAACAAATAACTAAACGAAACTAACTAAGCAAGAAAACAATGAATTAACTAAACGGAACGGATAAAATGAGAAAAAGGATAATCAAAAGAGAAGCAAACCTAAGTAAGTACTAACGTAAGCACGGCGACCTGATACCCTTCTAGCATCGAAGCATCCTCCACGAAGGCACCACCTCGGTCGACACTTTGAAGAGCTCTTCCACCTTCCCCAAATGCCACGAACTTGAGGCTTTATACTCAAATAAGAATTTTTAAACTATACCCCATGGAGCATGCAATAGAAATTGTATTCCATGAAATATTAGACTAAAAGAGAAAGTATTGCTATGAAGCATAACTTTCCATAAAAGAAAGTGATCATAAATGATCAAATATTCATAAAAATATATTTGCTTGGTGTGTCTTACAATGCACCTTAAGGGTCCTATTTATAGGAGTGGGGGAAGGAGAAAGTAGAGTGATTTTCCAATGTGGGATGGGTTTTGCATAAGTAATCTCCCAATGAGTGACACCTAACTAATGCATGTGAGAGACATGAAAGAGCTTATTATATATATATATATATAAGTGGTACCAATGGATGGTCCCCCCACTTGAGCATGTGCAAACCTAGGTTTATATAATTACATATTAAAACCTCTACTTTAACAAACTCCTAGGTTTGCACAATTTTTCCGTTAGTTGTTCGATTGAGGCGTTACAAGCTCCAGTGTAACCTTTACAACCACGGCACTCGCCCTAGGATTTCCATCATGTCCTCGCATGTTGTAACATAGTCCGTCGGTTGGGCTCCAATTCTCTAATTTCTTCACCAAGCCTTGCAATTTTTCAATGCACGCTTTCGCTCGAGCTCTCGATACTCGTCTGATTGGAATATGTGGGATTGTAAGTCCCGATCTTTTTGTATCCGTGTCACATTTTGTAAGGTAAGTGGCTAACGTATTATAAGTGTTCTATAGTATGATCCCAGTTGTATCTTAGAATGATAGTTGTGCAAAAATTAGACCTTTGCAAGGGTACATTCACATGTATATTGAAGCACTTACAGATGAATAATTTTAGTTTTATTGTCAGTGCAATTTTGAATGTACAAACACGACGATGTAGACAACACAAGCAAGATAAGAAATTGCTAATTATCTATAGATTTTGAGACATCAATAAAAAAAACTTCGCCTAATAATCTATTACTTTTGTTGAAACAGTAAACACGTTTTGCTAAGTAAGTATAACTAACGATAATGGAAACGAAAACAAATCATGAGACATTTTCATTAATAATGTAGGAAGAAAAAGAAAGAGATACAATATAAATGCAATGTCGCATTGCATGACAAGAGAATCCGCTTGCAACTCTAGGTTTCCACCTTAAGTTTAATCGTTGGCCATGGATTTGCACTATTTTTCAAAAGGAAATTCATCTTCAAGAAATGGTTGAAATATTGTCTGACTTTCCCATTAAAAAAAAACAAGCCTCTCTGATTGAAAAGCTTAACAAAAAACAACCGAATTTAAGTTTTGTAAATACCATATAGTACACTTTTCTTTCCATATCACTCTTCAAGCGAAAATCATACATCATTCCTAAACAAGACAATAATCATATGCTACATAGAGTGCAAATTAATTAATCGATTACCACAAACTTAACTATTGTCAAAATTGATGGCCATAATCTTATCCATCATGATAAACACTATGATTTAAAAAAAAAACTATAATTCAAACTGTTTAACGAAACACATAAATAAGATAATCAGATAGGTCAAGAATAAATAAATTTGACCGATAACAGTCGGTACAATTTTCTTATTATGAAGAGGAAAAAAGAGAATATGAACTAGATTATGGTGTGCTTAGGAATGTTTTGTTACCTTTAAATTGAGAAAAGTACCTTAGAACATAAAGCATTTCATAAGGGAAGTGGCTAACGCATTTTAAGTGTTGTCCAGTGTCATTCCATATGTATCTTAGAATGATAGTCGTGCAAAAATTAGGCCTTTTTAAGGGCACAATCACGTGTTTGTTGAAGCACTTATAGAGGAATAAATTGAGTTTTATTGTCAGTGAAATTCTGAAAGTACAAACACGGCGATGTAGACAACATAAACAAGATAAAAAATAGCTAATTATCTACAGATTCTGAGACAGTATCAATAAAATAACTTCGCCTAAGAAGCTATTACTTTAGTTGCAATATTAAAGACATTTGGATATGTATGTTTAGCTAACGATAATGGAAACCAAAAGAAATCATGAGACACTTTCATTAATGACGCAGGAAGAAAAAGAAAGATATACAATATAAATGCATATATTGCATGCATTGCATGACAAGAGCATCCGCTTGAAACTCTAGGTATCCTCCCTAAGTTTCATCGTTGGCCATGGATTTGCACTATTTGTGAAAAGGAAATTCATCTTAAAAAAATGGTTGAAACATTGGTTTACTTTCCAATGAAAAGAAACAAACCTCTCTGATTGAAAAGCTTAAACCAAAACAACTGAATATAAGTTTTGTAAATACCATAAAGCACACTTTTCTTTCCATATTACTTTTCTAGCTAAAATCATACTACATTCTCAAACAAGACAATAACCATATGCTACATAGAGTGCAAATTAATTAATTGATTACCGCAAACTTAACTATTCTCAAAATTGATGGCCGGAATCTTATGTCATGATAATCACTATGGTTCAAAAAAGACTATAATTCAAACCATTTTACGAAACACGGAAAGAAGATAATCAAATTGGTCAAGAATAAATAAATTTGACCGATAACAATCGGCACAATTTTATTATTTTGAAGAGGAAAGAAAAGAATATGAACTAGA